TTTGAAACTCAAAGAACATTTTCTTTGTCCTTTAAAGATAGTTTAATAAAAAAGGGGAAATTTGGTCTTTTTAATGGTATTTGGATGTCTAATAAAATTCGTATCGTCAACAGATTAAGTCTACTTCTGGAATTATTGTCAACTTTTAGAATTCATTGCACAGGCTATGCTGTTTGGCAAGGGAACAAGTTGGGTCTTTTTTTATTTGATTGTCATGAGAGGTACATAAATTGTAAATGGATGTCTACAGAATCCAAGCAAATATATGCCACGCTTATGAATAGGTGGTTGTACGTCTGGTTCGAGAGATGCACATCTTACTTTTGGTTTCTACCCCTTGGGCATACGTTTCACCGTAAAGTACAGTTGTGATAGCCTCCGTGTGTTGCTGTTGATTGTCGTGTTTGCTGCATTTTGTCTAGTCAGTACTACCAATTTTCATTGCGTCTCAGTATATATAATGCCATACAATGGAGAAATGACGTAGATGTCCCACGAAATTGCTTCCAATCAATTTACTTCATGATACAAATAATATTTTCTATAATCAAATAGAATGTCAATGTCATCCACAGTCTTCAACATTGCAAATACGACTTACTGGTCAATTTAAATCAACATTGATGTTGTTATCTTACCGTGAAAAGATGCGCTTCTGATATCCAATATTTAAGACAAAATGAAAATTTTAAAATTGTCACACGAATCGCGTGCCAGAATGATTTCGAGCGCCATTTGTGATGAAGCGACTCGCTGAACGAGGCTAAACATAACTTACAAAAGAGTACTTCCGTTGTAGACTGGAATAATCAGATGCGAAAGGCTACCATTTAATTTGGACTCTTCGCGTATTTCGCCGAACATTACTGATTAGAAATTACAGTAAAAACAGAAACGATTGAATGTAAATCAGTTTATATACATTCATATTACATTATTACATGAGTTGCGACCCATGTGTGTCCATTTCTAGTTGCTAAAGAATAGAGATTTAGCTTCTTTAACTGATTAGAAATTACAGTAAAAACAGAAACGACTGAATGTAAATCAGTTTATATACATTCATACTACATTATTACATGAGTTGCGACCCATTTGTGTCCATTTCTAGTTGCTAAAGAATAGAGATTTAGCTTCTTTAATTTAATGTAAGAACAAATGACGAATGATTCGAGCCACATCTGTGTTGCAGTGTTGAAGGTGATGAAGTGTCAATGATAGAAATATTGATACTATCTGAAGACGTAAATTGTGCAGGCAATATAACACGCTGATCACGACTCCGATATTAGATTCAATTGCTGCACTCGCTTGTAAATGAGTTTGAGACAGAATAGGAAAGACTGTTCTTGCGGTTATTTCAACATGCCACAACCATCTGAGATCGTAATATATCTTTTTCCCCCTTTAAATTTGGATTCCTTAGATTACCAATACGTTAATGTTTCATTATTTTCCAATTTAAAAAACCAAAAAAGAAATGGTACACACGACAGACAAACGTTAATTCACGTTTGGCTACATTCAGAAAGTTTTTATTGAATCTTGTCATTTGTACATCGATAGGAAACTCTTTAACTATATCGAGTCTCGAGAGGTTAAATGTACGTATTAAAGGATTGACATCGAACGGAAGTGAGTACGGAAAAGTGCCAACAAGCCGACTAGACCAAACTTTCTGGTTTTAGATAGTAATGCTTTCTATGTCATTACACAATGCCTTCAGCAGTTGGATTATGGATCTCTGTCGACCCGAAGCAAGCTTGGGCTAAGAACTATGATTATATGATTAGGGTTGCAGCATGAAAGAGGAAACATTTCTTTAATGAGAGAGAATCATTGAGCTGAACATTATTGTCACATAATGCGATGGCCTTCAGCAGCTAAAAATGAGTTTATCGCATTTTCGCTTTCAAGTTTGAACAACATGGGACATGAAGCAACGGTTGTGTCATTGAATCAAATCTCAAGGAAATTCGATTAGTTGTTATTTCTAGTAGAATAAGTTCTCCTTGAGTTTTAAATTCCTTTGGCGTACTGAGATGTTTTTACTGATCATGAGCTGAGGCCGCTCAAGACGTCAATAACAGCGAACCCATATACATTTACAGAATAAAATTAAAATAAAAAAAATAAAAATTCTGAAACCTTAACCCACCTTTTCGTCTTTAGTCCAAGTGATATATTTTAAGGATATTTTGATGGTTGGCCGTCTGTATAGGCTCTGGAAAATTTGGTACTGTTATTTATTTCGAGAAATGTAATTATGTAATGTATTTGCCTTTCACATATTCCGCATAATCCCGAGGAGATGACGTGTGCATTTAACCCTGTTTCAATATTGTATTACAGAGTTTGTGGTTTCAAAACATGATGCCTTTGTCTTCAGTTGACATCATATAGAATACACGTAAAAGATCCCTTGGCAGTTGGAATTCGATATAAGAGTAGGCGATAGTGCCGCTGCCCGGGCAAAATTTCCCTCATAGCACAATGTATGGCGTATGCCCGTCTTCATTAGCCCAGTATAGGAGCAGAACAGTAGGACGTTAAACCCCATTTCATTTCGACTTACATAAAGGTAAAACACACAACAAACACAATATCATCACAGTACAAAGACAAAACACAGTAAAATACAATACAAAGCCAAAGTATTAGATGCAAATAATGCAAAGTGTCAACCCCAAAATCCAAGATGCCGAAGCGAACCAAGCTGCTGACCATGTGAATCCGTCTCGTGGCAATCCCCACCCCCCTCCGATGATCCCAGCGTTAAGTGATATAAATTGTGCGGGAAAGAACAAACACACCATTTTTCCTGCGGGACACTCATCCACCTATCGCAACTACAGTCCAGCGAAATTTAGGGTCAAGGACAGAATTCTACAAAATCGCAGATGATAGCCAAAACAGGCACAAAAATAAACTATAGCCCCCCCCCCCCACCCTCGAACAAAAGAAGCCCAACAAGACAACAACAACAACAACAACACCCCCCCCCCCCCACAAAAAAAAACACAAAAAAACCATAAAACAAACATTGTCAACACTAGATCCCAATATGATAAAGCATTATGACATTGTATCATATGAGAAATGAGGAAACAATATCTAATATCTTCCCTGGGCATATGATATCGCTTCCTTGTTTTATGTGAATGCTTGAAAGGAAAATTATTGTTTGTAATATTAATAAACCAAATTCAATTTCCGGAATTAATAACAGTAAATGTGTTTAATTTTCCTGGCATAAAACAAGCAAACGATGATTCATTTCTTTATTGCATAAACATGATCAAACAACAGTACCTCGAAAAATCTGTCTTATTATTTCCGTCCATAACGATTTCGCATCTTCATTCTTTCACTTTCTACAAAAATAAAACCAAATCATATACATCAACATTAAAAACTTTGTGGATTGGCATATCAGACCGAAAATCATATTGTAAACCCAACGGATGCCTGACGCGGTGGTGCGTGTTCTTAATAGGATGCATTACACTTAAATGAGAACATTTTTATGATCCCATATATAAACACTACAATCAGGAACTCCACCCGGAACTCATGGTGTTCCTACTTGAACACCAATGATACCACGTGTTCAAGTTCGAAATCACTGACGTATTTTCAAATCGCGATTTACAGGATGCTATTTCGGTATACCAATTCTTTTGAATAAATGCTTTAGAGTAAGTATTTTTATATCGTAAGCCTATGTTGTTTCACAGTAAATAGGTATAAATCCATAATTTTGACCAATGTTTCTATGAAATTGTTTACATTTTGGAAATGATATGTAGAATATGCGTACATATTTTTCCTTGTCTGTCATTTTTGCAATACTTAAGGTCCTTTTGCCACCCCCCCCACCCGCTCTTTTCGGTTCTTGACTGATTAGTAGGACCGACATCTCCAGGAAATATATGCAAAGTGCTGTCAACCCCATTGAAGGGTTAAGAAATGGTAGTTAGAAGAATACCATTACTATCATTATAATAGGCATGTTCAATCTAAATCTACTCAATACACACCATGTTGTACAGATACGTTCAAAGGATGTTTCCATTATCAATAATAAGCACTTGTTTTAAATTTGGTCTTAATTTCAAGACCCGTTCAAATCAAGGTGTTCCTCACAATTCACGGTGTTGTATATAAAATAAGATCAGATTTTATTGTATCGAAACATCCATTGAGGACAGCACACAATATAAACATATGTACATGTAATAAATAACAATATTTTATTACATCTAGATTTTGAATGTTAATTCAATTTATAATTCTATATATAATTCTTATTCTTAGAACGATCTGGTTATTACATACATAGTATCTTGGTGCTTGGCAAAGCAAACAAAAAATTGACATCGAATGTCATAATATTATGTATTATTCAATCTTCTAAAAAAGTTTTTAGCGAAAAGTAGATCTATGGATATACTTATTGAAATCACAATAGAAACTACGCACCACGCAACGGTTCCAGAGTCTTAAAAAACGTTGGAATTAAAAATTACAGATCCACCTATAGGCAGAAATCCAGATGTCCAAAAATTTCGACAATTAGGCTGGAATTATAAATTACAGATCCACCTATATAGGCAGAAATCCAGATGTCCAAAGATTTCGACAATTAGGCTGGTCCGTCCAGGAAAGAAAAACGTTCAACCCCATTAACAATGACTGTGTCCTTAAAATTATTCACGGTACGGTTTTCATACGTTTATCAATTTGTATTGTTAGAATCTATGACAAGTTCCTTTAAAAGGAAATAGTGTTCTTCAAGTATAAGATAAATCGATTTATACACGCAAACAATTTCTAATGGGTTATCAATGTCAGGAGAACATTATTTTTATTGTTAAATATAACCAAACATAAATTCTGCACATAAAGAATTATTAAAGTTATTTCAAGCCGGATGCAACATTTTAAACATGGTTTTATAGCTTATCAGATAAAGGAACTTCGCATCAACTAACCACAGTGGCGCGCATGCTCGAGTGTGAATCTATGGTCGTAGTATCAGAATCTCAGCATGTCGAAGCCACTTGAATATTAGTGGTGAAACGTGGAAGACGTAGGCAGAATAAAGCTGTATCAACTTAATTTCTTCTGCGTTATCAGTTGATTTGGTTTAAGGTTAGTGTTTACTGAACTAAGCATGGTTATTGAGAGTTTGATAAGATCCCAGTTCACGTCTCATGTCGACCGTTAAAGATCAGTTTCGCACGTATACATACGCTGTTTATGTGCTATCCTGTTACGCTGAATTGTTTACAACAATATACTCAAGTAGCCTGTCGTATATATGACATATATCTTCGATTTATTTACTTTTATGTTACAATATTTGGTATATTGGTTGGCATGCACTTTATGCTTTATTGTTGCTGTAGGAAGAGTAATTCATAAGTACGGTATCATAATTATTTCATTGCCAGTACACGCGTAAATTTAGAAGCTTGTTGGCAGTGACATTAGTAACGACTCTACTTTCAGTTTTCTCCGGGATTAACTTTCACTTCAGCGCTAATAGTCATTATTCGTTCGGGTGTACTGAACGTGACATATAAACATATTCGTTAAAACCACGGATTTTTTTTGTATGAAAGTATTGAAAGGTGACCAGAGATATCCACGTTACAACTTTCTGATTATTATTATACAGACTAAATTTCTAGTATTTTCTACTTTCTACATTGCGTTTCCTGTAAAAACTTATTTGGTATAACTATTATTCGTCGAGAGGGGGGTGCGGGGGAGATACAATATGTTTCCAAAACTATGCTATATTTTCATTTCCATTTGTTTAATATTCAAGACAGAAAGTTTTTATTACAGATATTGTGTATCATTTTCTTTGACATACCGGTACATCAAGTCTTATATATTTCGATATTTAAAAACTTAAACTAGTGATTTACCTTCAGTTGTGATGGATGATTACAATAAACAATATGCACATTAAAATTTTACCAGGGCAGCTTTGTATGGCAATATTCCCCCTGCCAAGAACTGGCAAGGACCCTTGTTTGTCAATATTTCCCAAAGCATTGCATAAAGTGACCGACAAGGTAAGATATATTATAGAAATGCATATTTTAAACATAATATCCAAAACTGACAATTTTGTGGATAAATCAAATTGATTAGTAGGACTGTTTTTGTTAAAATTTCAATCATCCACATTTTGTTTTGTTCTGTGAAATCATTTAAATTTTGGATATAATGTGTAGAATATGCAGATATATAACATATCATTCCTTGTTGGTCACTTTTTAAAAAATATATTGGGAGCTATTGACCAAAAAAACACTCTTGTCGGTGCTTTTGTCAAGCTTTCAATCATCCATAATGTTGTAAAAAAAAATTTTGAAATCATTTAAATTTTGGATATGATGTGTAGAATGTACATATAATATATCTTTCCTTTTAAGTGACTTCTTGCAATACTTTGAGCGCTAGTGACAAAAGAATTTCTATTGTTGTTTTTGTCGATGATTTGTAGAACCGTTTATGATTTTTTAAGAGTCAATATTTGTTGACAAATACAAAAACATATTTTTGGAGAATTTTTTTTTTTTTTGCTGTAAACATAAACATGCATTTAATTGATGATTTCTAATTAGTAATTACATAGTTAACATTCTTTTATGTGAAAGGCTGGGGTTCTGTTGAAGGTTCAGATATTCGGTTTCAGATATTACATTCTCAGATGTACAATATTCAGCAACATACATATGTATAGTCTATGTATTCATGCCTTGTGATGTTCCTGATGATCAGTGTTAGTTATAATAACTCACATTTACTGAAGTATATCAATTGGTGCTGGATTATACAGTCTAAGTATAAGAGGCAAATCACTGACTATCCCCCCCCGTCTCCTTCAGTTTCACCATTCATGGAATTATCCACCATTTCAGGATTTTATACGGCCTGACGATGAGGTATAATGACTGTACTGGTCTCTGTAGACTGGTAGTTTTACTAGTTTTACAAATCCTATTTGAAATTACCATGTGTACTCTTGGGGTCGCAGGTTTGATTCTGATGTTGGCAGAGAAAGTTCTCAAGGATTTTTCAATGTAATTTCGAATTTCTAGTGGTGCAGGATGAAGGGCTTTGCAAGGAAGGTGTCTAGTCAATCAGATGAGACAGAAAAACTTAGGTACTGTATACACTTTGGCATGCATGTAAAAGTATAGCTATGAGAATGTAACTAAAAACGCTGAGATCTGATGTGCTTGTTTTTAGCTACGATTGGATGCCTTTAGTTCCAAGTGGCAAACTCAATTTCTTTATTAATGTATGTACCATCTTAAAAATAAGTTAATTTTATACTATTAGTACTTATTACACATACGCAGTCCAATCTACTGAAACAACATTCATTTATCAGCAAATATTGACAATAAAGTAAATCAAGCATTGTTTTTATCAAAATTGATTCGGACGTTCATAATTACGCCATATTACTACTGCGCAACTCTGATCAGATGGGTACTTTGATTGGCTATTGCACACGAGGCCCCGCCTTAATGTGTTACAGACGTAAATTTTAAATGTCGGAAAAAGCAATCTACTGTCGCTTCGATTTAACAAGAGGGGATTTGTACCCGTTTCAGGTAGGATTATATGCTTAATTGTAGTTGGGTGTGGCAGAAATATTATAAATAACAATAACCAATCGTTTTTTTGTCATTTTGTTTACAAATGCTGGGTGCGAATCGCTCCCGCATGTGTTACATTGAAGGTAATGGCATCATCCCTTATCTCGAAACATGGAGGGTTGAGAGATTAAGGTTTGTTATCTAGTAAAAGTACCCCTGACAGTTGCTGTACTGGTGAAATTAATTTCCTCTTAGCACATATTGTATGGTATATGCCCGTCTTCATTAGCCGGGTAGCTGTTGAAATGTAGGAGGTCATTTCTTTCCCGAGAGTCAGAGTTGCACAATACTCAGTCTCATCAATTAGCACAGGATCAAACAGTCCCAAGAAAAGACTGGAATCATCAACAATGAAAACATGCTTGGTTGGCATTGAATACAACCTTCATTCCTTTCAAGATATTTCTGTCAAGTTTGGAAAAGATAAATACCTGGCCATTAACCCAGAAAGGTGGTTTAACCACTCTTTTAAAGCTATTAGTGTTAAATACTAGGTTCATTTTCTAAATGCATCAAGGAGATAGGAAGGCGGTTAAATACTAGTTTCATTTTCAAAATGCATCAAACGGATAGGAAGGCTGAGAACTGGTTAATCAAATGGTTCTATGGCAAACTACCTATAATTGACAAGATGTTGGCTTACTGGTTCAGTTCAATTTCAAATTTTCTTTGTTTATGTTACGTTAAATTTTTTGGAACAAACATATTACATGTATTGCAAAATTAGAACGAAAGATTTATAGATTTTAGTGGAGAACTTTATTAAGGTAACACGCATGGTAAATGTTGGTATTATAAGGTATTATAACCCCCTTTACAAGTTTTCACACCAACAGATCGTCAGATAACTTGTGTAAATAAACACTGGTGTAAAGAGAAAGGTGAACACCTACTACAGCCAAAACAATGATAAAAAACACAGTCATGTTTATTAGTTGAGAGAAATTAGATCTTCTATATTCTTACCAGGTGGCAAGGGTTGGATAAACACACCAAAAATATTATTCCTGCGGCTGGTACTTGATGTACATCTTAATGAATTGTTTAAAAAAAACAGACTCAGCGGCACATAAGGAATTCTGAAAGCTATTTTCAAATTGTAATAAGTAATATAGTGTTTTGCCATGGCAGCAGAAGTCCAATTCATCCAGAATGTCCAGTTAAAATTGCTACCAATTTTATTGACTTACATTTGAGATTATTTGACATGCTTTGCAGTGGGGCCTCAATTTATTTGATATTAAACAGGGGGTGGTTGTGCTGAGTTGTTTAAAAATTATTTAAAGACAATATCATTTTGAATATTTGAGGGATATGCTTCTACTTCAGGAGATTTGATACCATTGGACTGTTCAATTGCTGTGACTTGCTCAATGTGACCCCATGATGTGAAACAAAGAGTTTAATTTTGGTTCCGTTCATTTGATAAAAATGTTGTTAAAAGTCTTGCCAACATTAATACAAAATTTATCTTTTGAAACAAATCACCTATTTATAATAGAGTTTACATTTTGATTTTTATTAGTGACGGGATGACCCTGCAAAGAATCAAACAAGCAACTCTTTGCTTGGATTCCATATCATGAGTCAAACTGAATCGACACTGCCCAATTTGGGATGCCGATTTAAAATTGAGATAGTACAGTCCAGGGATCCACAGATGATATATAAACAAAATTGCTGTGAGCATCTATATACAATTACATTCTTGCTACATACATAATAGGTATTAAGCGGAAGAAAGAACTAAATTATATAGGACGTATAAATTCTAATTTCTGTAGTGTCTCAGATATACTCTAGCTTACATTTATAGCACGAAATACGAATGTCAAAAACATTATAAGATGTGACATTCATAGCCCAAGGGTAAACTGATAGTAAAGTACATAACAATACAAGGAAGAAATCTAATTGATTTCTTAAAGTGAATATAAAAATCATTTTGTCATTTCTATAGCAGAATAATTACATCATCAGATTGTGCGCAAGTTTTAAAAAAATGTGAAAGCACATCGATCGTGTTGTGTAATATTCTGTAATGACTTATTTTATAATCAATGGTGAAATAATGATTAATAGCTTTGTAGTGGAAAGGTTAGTAGAAAATGAGATCTATCGCATGAAATCCACCGATTTTCTCTTTAAATCAAGTTAATATCGTGTCATTTTCACATAATTACTCCTTGTTTGTGACCCCCCTTGAAGTGACCTTTACAAATAATAAAGTATGGCTGTCACTTATGGCACCAACCTAAGTTTTAAATTTTTTTCCAGTTTCTTGAGTAATATCGATCATCTATCTATGGTGCCAGAAAGACAGCAATATCTATGAGAAATTGCTATAGGGAAACCCAACAATATAAAAGAAGTGTCAATTCCATGCCAATCTTAAACCTACGTCTTATCAAACCCACAAGAATCTTAATGACATTTAAATTGTTGTTTATATAACTTGATGCTATT